TACCTAGCAAGCACGAATGTCACTAAAAATCGACCCAAATACGTTATCCCTCCCAAACCATCTAGAGAAGCAGTGGGTTGATATTGCCAATAAACAACTCCTTAGCCTGATCTACAACAGCACTCATAAAAAACAGCTGCTATGACCTAAGTATGATCTAGTTCTAAATTCAATCTCACGCTAAGAATTTTGGTCACTGTTATTTTCCAAATCAGCAGTGTTACAATTAAAAAGAAATTATTTTTAAACCATAAATTTGTGATCTCAAATGACTGTATAGCAACTAGTAAACTTGCTTTTGTCATGCTCTCAGAGTCCAAAGATGTTTCATTATATTATAAAATGTCTATTCCCTTTTAGGAATAAATGTAAAGTTTAGTAGTCATTGTGATGTTTTATTAAAAAATGCTGGGTGGCGTAAAATAATGCCTCACAGGATTGGCTACAGTTTTACTTTCCTCAGCACAGGATGAACTCAAACTGGCAGAATGATATGGGAAACCACCTCTGGCCAGACAAGGGATATGGCAACAGACGGCAGGCTGAAAGTGGTATGAAAGGCCAAGGAGACCCCCAAATCTAGGCCTCAAGGGAACCTGCACTGCTCCAGCAGAAAATCTCAGCCATCTACAGAGCGCCAGGGCTGTTTGTTTAATCCAGCTTTGCTTCAAGCACCATCATATCACAGATGGCACTGGAGGTAATTAAGAGCCTAGTTTCTGGGGTCAGACAGGTCTGAGTGATCACCATAGCTTAATGTCACTTAACCAGCTTTGCCCCTTTTGGTAAGCTCCTAAACCTAAGCCCCTAAAGCTCAGGTTTCCCAATGTTGAAGATGGGATTAATGATACCTATACCTCACTGGGTTGTTTCAATGACATGATGCATGTAAACCATTTGGTACAGGGCCTGGCACACAGTGTCAATTACTATTAATAAGTGGTTCACTCATTTTTCTTTTTCCATTTGAGGTAATACATACTCAAGGAAAAGTTGGAAAATTACAAGGAAATTATAAAGAAAAATTATCCAATGACTCCTGAAACTTTTAGGATTACAAACCTCAGATTTTAAGATTCCCCAGCAAATTGTTTTTTGATAGATCCAAACTGTTTTCTAAAAGGTCTACCAATTTATAGTTCCATGAACCAAATATGACTGCACCCATTTCTGTACATGCAAAAATGGCTCACCTTTATTTTGTAGGTACTTATGCTCAGAAGCACTGAAGAACTAAAGAAAGTTCCCAACCTCAAAATGATCACTGGGCCTACAGAATAAACACTGGAGACTCTCTGTCCTCCTCTCTCCAAGAGGCTACCTGGGAAGTATCCGTGTCTGCAAAGAGTCAGGGAGCAGCCTCTGAGCTATGTGGGCTCTGAGCTATGTGGGCTTTCTCCTTTGCTCAGAGCAGAACCATCCCAGTTAACCCTCAACAAGTTTAGCAAATGTTTCCTAACTCCTGGGTAGATCTCCAATTAGGCAAAATAGAATGTTGGTGAAGCCTCTGAAATAATCTTCTACTAATCCCTTTAACATAACTTCTAAATTTTCTCCCAAAGACTCCTCTGCCTTTAGGTTTTCAAGCTTTAAAAGGGCTAAACCAGGTGGAACTTCACCGTGCATAAAATTGGTAACTTCATGCAAACGTCGGAGTACGTGTACATAAAGCATAAGGATGTGTACGTGTGTATATTATGCATATGTATTATATAAACTGAATATCGTATATGTGATTGCTGAACCAAGTAAAACTCATAATTTCCACACAAAAGTAGAATGTTGGATCTGGAAGGAATCTTGTAAATCATCTCTAATCCAACCCTCTTTCAGTCAGAAGAGGAAATAAGGCCCAAAGAATGTAAATGTCCAGCCCCCAGAGTTAGTTCCCAATGGTCATCTTCTGAGCCCAGATTTGCTTCTAAATAGTGGTTTTCTCACAGCATTCCTTCTCTACCAAGATTTGAATAAATGCCTAGTAATGGAGCAATACTCCCATGAAACCCCGTTTTACCAAGACAGGCACTAGTACTGCTTTCGAGACAAATCACTTTGTATTTGCATTTCCCATTAAGGTATACAAAGGCTTCATGGTAGTAACTCTGCATGCTGATGCCATTTCTTTTACAAAGAAGAAACTGTGGTTCACGCAAGTTAAGTAATTCGTTCATAGGCTTGGGGACAGACAGGCTGTTCATTTCCTAGGTGTGTGATTTTGGTCAAGATACGTGACTCTCTGTATCTCAGTTTAAAGATTAATAATATGGAATAACATCTAAAGTCCCAGGGTTGATGGAAGAATTATACTTAGCGAAACACCTGATTGTAGTTATATAATATTATCAATACATGCTTAGCAAACACAGGACTAGAACTCAACCTGCGTAACAGATCTTGCTTGGTCCTTTCGACAACACAATTTAGGGCATTTGAAGACAATCTAGGGTGAGGAAGAGGCGGGGATGTACCTGAATAGCCGAGTGCAGCCAGAACTACAAGCTACGCGTCGCCCAGAGCTCACGGTCACTCGGTGAAATCACTATTCCAGGGGAGCTTTTCGTCAGTCACCGGGGAGGCAGGGAGGGACGTTCCGGAGTCCGAGCAGTTCCCGCCGCCACCTCAGACTCACAAAGCGCGCCCGCTTTTCCGCAGCGTCGCCGAGGGGCAGGGTCGACGCTACCTAGGCCGGCCGCCGCCCGCTGCGGGGTCTGCTTAAGGCCTCTCTAAGGCCCGCGGACGTGAGGCAGGTAACCAACCCCTCAATAAGGAACCTCCTGGCCGCCACCGCCACTGGTACTCAGCTCGCAGAGTAGGGACAAGCCCCTCCCCCGGCGCCGGAGAGCTTCCGGTGTTCCCCCACGTGACGCAGCAGCCGCGCGAGCGAACCTCACATATTATTGGTCGCTGCCGTCCGATGGGCGGGGCGGGGCGCGACCTCACGGAGCAGCCACCTCCGTCCGCCCGTGTCTCCGCCCCCTAGCTCCGCCATCTCCATGGTGACCGCTGCCCGGTCACCCGTTTGACCTCAAACCCTGAGTTGCGTCATTGTCTCTGAGACGGAAGCGGTCGTTCCTGCGCAGGTGCACGGCGACAACGCCCGGCTGGGCCGGCCCCGGCCTGGCTCGGACGGCGGAGGTTACAGACCTCTGCTCGCCCCAGTAACGATGGCGGTGTTTCACGACGAGGTGGAGATCGAGGACTTCCAATATGACGAGGACACGGAGACGTACTTCTACCCCTGCCCGTGTGGAGATAACTTCTGCATCACCAAGGTAACTCGGGGACCCGCCCGGCGACTCCTCGGAGCAGGCGCGCTTTCGCTCTGCCGAGTTCCTGCCGCCGATCCACGCGGCTCATAGTTATCCACGCCCTTTTTTATCCGTTTCTGAATTCCCCCAAATTTGATACTCCGCGCTGTCGGCGGCACTTGGTTCTGGCCTTTAGTCGGGCCGGAGCGGGGAGGGGAGGGTGTGGATGGCGCCATCCTTCCCAACTTAAGCTTCCACTTCCTGGGATACTCTTTTGGAGGAAGGTATGTGTTTTCGTCTTCCCGGGGGTTTTGAGGCGACTGAACCTTGACTCACCCTCCTGGGTGTTTATCCCAAGTGACGCTTCCAGGGAAGAGTGGGGCTGGCATTTCTCTTGGAAGATGCTTTTGGTCCTCACATGCCTTGTGGGGAGGCCAGCCTCAAAGGAGCTTGCCCACAGAGATGGGAGGGTTTTGGGAGAAGGAGATAGCCAAGAGAAGACTATGCTGACCGTTCGGTGTTCGATTTTGTTATAGGAAGATTTGGAGAATGGGGAAGACGTGGCAACGTGCCCTAGCTGCTCTCTCATTATAAAAGTGATTTATGACAAAGTAAGGAGTCGAATTTTAAAAGGTGGGGGGAGGGTTGCAGGCACCTAGAGTAGTCTGCCTGTGATAGGTAGGTGCAGAGTGTTTTCTAATCTTGTGTTAGGTAAATGCTGTGTTTTTTAAAACAGATTTTTAAAACCATTAATAAGCAGCTGTATAGTAAATTAAAATTTTAAAAGCTCAAATTGATTAACTCTTTTAGCTTTGGAGAAGGCAATAAAGAAAACTGTTCTGTATCTAGTGAATATTATGATTACTTATTAGGGGAAAATAATTATAAAGATTATTTAATTGACAGTGTTTATTCCTCCCTTATTTAATAAGCAATTAAAATTGTTTAGAGCTCTTGGACTTATTTTGAGGGAACATTTGTATAGTATTTCTTACCTGGCTTTACATTGAACTCTGCATTATCTTGTTTGAGATGTAAGTCATAGTTGCAATTTCACAGTTTTCATTTTAGTCTTTAGTTGTCCTGCTGTTTTCACCCAAGGATATTGACAATAGAAAACAAAATAAATGCCCACCTCCACCCCAACTTTTGGTCTGTACTTTGAATGGGGTCTTAACATCGTAAGAAGCTTAACATTCTTTTCTCTGGGTTTTGTTTTTTGTTTTTGTTGTTGTTTTTGAGATATAATTGTCATATTACAAAGCTTACCATTCTTAAGGATGAACTCTAAAATGAGTATAGGCAAGGTGGGGGAACAAGGCACTTAGCCTCATGACATAAGCAGGCTGTAATTTAGACTACACTTCAGAGTACCCTGATTTATTCTTGCATTTAAGTGTGTTCTGGAACAAAAAGAAAACAGGGTAAGGGTGAGCAGGAGTGCTGGTATGAGAAGAGATTGCAATTTTAAATCGGGTGATCACATACTGTAGGCTGTTTAGTAGCATCCCTGACCTCTACTCATTAGATGCCAGTAGCGCCCCACAGTATGTCAACCCAGAATGTCTCCACACATTGCCAAATATCCCCAGAGACAAAAGCAACACCTCCTCCCCGCTACCCCTTGAGAACCTTGCGTTAGAGCAGGAAGGCACAGGGCCATTTTAAAGAATGTGGAGCATCGTGTTGGTGGTGGACCATAAACTCCAAAGAACACAGTGGGACGGTTCCAGGTGCTGGACAGGAGTCAGAGATCGATAGGGACAGAATACAGGCTGATCCTTACGGGGATCAGACTGCAGGAGATGAGGGGTAACCTGGGAGGCAGAGGTTTCCTGGGCTGGCTGGTGTAAGCCAGGCTAAATCATCAGAGATTGAACTTCATTTACAAAAGAGCTAATTCGCAGATTATCTATGTTGGGAAACATAAAGAGCTATTCCTTTAGTTGAAAAAAGTAATTCCTTTGAAGAGGGTAGGTATTTGAGTGACCAAATATTGAAGTGGGGAAGTAGTCGTGCAAATAGTAATTAATACAGAAATTAAAAGGTGTGACGTCTGTTCTATAAATGTGATTTCTGAGAAATGGGTGCTCCGTAGTGACGAGGGACATGTTTGTTTATAAGATAAGGTGCATTAAATATGAATTCAGGACTAAAAACTGATACATTTTTAAGGTTATGATTCTGGTGCTGGCATTGACTCATTGAACAAGAATGAAGTGAGAGAGCAAAGGAAAAACTTAGATTAGCAGAGCTGGATTGATCCTGTAACAAAATGAGTTGACCACTGATGCATCTGTGACACAGACACTCCGTGATTAATATAATTTCTTGTTCTGTCTTAGGATCAGTTTATGTGTGGAGAGACAGTCCTGGCCCCTTCCACCAACAAAGAGCTAGTTAAGTGCTGAAGCAGACTTTAGGATTCCAAAGCCTGAATTTTGGGGAATGAGCCAAATTGGAAAAATCAAATGCAAAGTCACTGGCTTCTTCGTGGGGACAGTCATTTTGTAGTTTGGTGTTCCATAGAGTGTGGATTCTTTCCATCGGCTGCCAAGTTCATCTCCAGTTGAAGAAGCAAGTCCACCACATGACATACCCGGATGTTGTGCCAAAACTTTGAATTGGATGGGCTCTTAATTTTCCATCCGAACTTAAAAGAAGGTAATTTCAAATCAGTGTTTTCTTTCGCTCAATTTTGTTATTTTTATATCTTACGCCTAATTACTTCATTATCTGACAGCAGCTTCATTTACCTCAAAGTCATTAGGATTCTTTAATTTAAAAAATGATTTTATTTTTTAGTTGGTTATTAAGATTATTAAAATCAGCCCTTTCTTTGTAGTTTGACATCAGCTCTGCTGTTCTAAACTGAAGGAAATCAGTTGCCTTTAGTCAGTTGGGACTGTACCTTCAGTTGGCCAGGCCAGTTTTCAAGAGCTGGCCATGAGTCAGATGTCTGTGTTCTGTTAAGCATGTCATTTCCATTATACTTCATACACTGGGTTCTGGTCATGGTGTTAAAGAGAAAATATACTGAGCTCACAATTTTTCCTGAGTTAAAAGGTAGTGAGTTAAGAAGAAAAGTCAAAAAGTGAAATGGTCAAAGAATATGGAATTTCCTTATCAATATTCTGCATGTTCCTTGAAAATCAGGACAAGATAAAAAGAAAAACAGCCAAAGAAAGTGAAATTGGTAACAGACGAGAGGAGAAAAATATGCCTACTTTTAGTAAATTAACTGTTTGAGTGGTTTTGTGAGAACAGAACAAGTAACATTTCTGTATCTGGGTTCTTATGTGTGTATTTGTTTTTAGATAAGGCTAACGAAATTTCACTCTAGGTAGGTGTTAATGTCAAGTCTTCATGGCTAGTGGCCCTGCTTTCAGCATTACCACCAAATCGAGTTACTAGTCCTAAAAGGTAAAGCTTCGACAGCAACTCTTGTATTTGCTGAGGAGGAACTTAAAAATGAGATCTGTTCCAATTAAATATGTCCCTGAGGGCACATCTAATAAGCCTCTATAAGCTGCAACCACATCAGACATTCACTCTTGCCCTGGAGAAAAAGAAACATACAAAGATATAGGCTATCGGTCTTCCTTTGCTACAGCCCTGAGAATAGCAAGAAATAGAACCACTTGCACAGAAATTCCAAAATTCCCTTTATATACACACCTCTGCTGTGTGTACGTAAAGTTAAACTCACCTATGTCTGGTGGGTTGCTCTGTAAATGGCTTCTGCAATTAGAAAACTAGCTTGCCAGCATGTGAGCATTTTATTACTAACTGATAAATGTGCAGCACACTCATTGGGGGTTTAAATTAAAACAGGCCAGTGGCCTTTTTCCCCCTGCCAACAGCATGGCTATGCGAAGCCATTAGGCTGAGACATAAATCACCAAAAACTGTATGCCAGAACTGCCTGGTACATTATGTGAAGCATACGGCATGTTGATGTGTTCAGAAATCTCATCGCTATTTGGGACACTGACACCCCAGAAGTAATCCACAGTTGCTTTGGAACGAGTGACGGCTCAGGTGAACAGAGCAGGGTGTGTGCTGACTGGTGGGGATGAGCTACAGAGAGAAACGAACTGTCCCATACTCAGATCTGATGGTTTCGTAGATACTGGTAACTGATGATGAATTTCAAACAAGAACAGACATCCCTGCTGTCACTTACACTGTGAGCGTAGAAGAGCAGGAAGAAAAGTTGCCCAAGTCCAAACGTCCCAGGAGAAAATCCAACGGCACTGGTGATCGATTGGTGTTAATCTGTGATAACGGGAATGATTTCATTCCAAAGCAGCTGAGTTGCTAAATCTAACCGCAAAAGAACACATCAGGATTTAATCCTGTGTTAAGCAGAAAGTAAAACCAGGGTCTTACAGATATGACTCGAGTTCGGTGTGGTGTATATGCCTTGTTTAGCTTCACAGACATTTCAGAGCCCCTCTGAGGACTGAGTTGTAATCCAGGCTCTGTCTCTTGCTACCTTGGTAATCTTTGGCAAGACCAGTGGATTCCTCATCCGTACAATTAGGAGACTGGATCAGGGTATTTCTAAACTCAGTACTATAATTTCAGGCTTCATAGTTTGCAGGAGCTGGAATGGTAATTGAAACCTTTTTAAACTAAACACGAGCTGAAGATGAATTACAGAGAAAGACACTCCATTCTTCAGTAACTCCATGTCAAAGGATTCTGCATATACTTTACACAGTCAGAAACCTTTTTGTTGGAAAGCACCCAACATTTTTGATAACTGTACATATTAATTTATTACCAGAATAAATTGTATTGGCATGCTAAATAAAGCCAGATTATTTACATCCATTTGTTTTCATGTAGTTTTTCTTCCCCTAAATACCAACATTATGTATTAAAAGGTTATAATGTGATTTTTATATGAAGTAGAAATCTTTAACCCGCTTTAGAACTTTGTAAGGTTTCTGTTATGGACAGTACAGTTTTTAAGTAGGAAAGAAATTGCCACTGTTTCTACTGTTTGGCCACATGGGTTTCAGTTCTGGATTTTTATTGTTATTTGGAAAAAAATAGCTTTGAAATAAGTGGCAGAAAGGCAGATATAGCTGACTGTAAGTAATTCAGTTTATTGCTGGGAAGGAAGGCTGGTATTTAAGACTGATGATCAGTTCTTACAGTGGTTTGAGAGCCCAGCTCTAGTTAGGGCACAGTTTGAATCTCAGTTCCTCCACTGTGATCTTGGACAGGTTTCTTTTTGTATCTCTGTGACCTGGTCTGTGGAATGTAGACCATAATAGTACCTTTTCCCCAGCGTTGCCCTGTGGATTCATTTATTCAGCAAGGGTCTGTGGAGTGCTTGCCACATGGTGGACACTAAGTGAGGAAGACAGGTAGGTTTCTGCCATCGTGGAGCTTCCTTGCAACTAGAAGAGAGGAAATAAGAGAACAGGCTGTGTTTAGGGCCCAGGAGGAAACAAACCACATGATGTGATACAGGTGCTTTTCTAAAGAATAGATGAAAGGCCTCTCAGGTCTGGCACCTTTTCTGAGACCTGAAGGATGAGAATGAAGCAGCCTTGTGAAAATGATTACATTAGCTAATGACTAAAACATTTAGCACAATGCCTGTCATATGTGCAAAAGCAAAAAGTTATCTGCTCTAATACCGAAAGGAATTCATTGTTTTGAGCACTGACAATATTATTAGAATAAATACTAAAAGTGCAAAGTATTGGACACCCTTTGCCCACACATACTGAATCTCTCTGGGCTTGGGTTTTGACAAGCCCTCCAGGTGGTTCTGACGCAGCTAACGTTTGAGAAGCACGGGTTGAGCACCTGCGTTCGAACTTGGCAATGCACTAGAACCACCTGAGGAGCTTTTAAAAGCCGTGCTGCCCAAGAGAGGCTGATTTATTTGGTCTAGGTGCAGCTTGAACGTCAGGAATAGTACAGTCTCCCTTGTGATTCTAACCTGCAGACCAAGCTGGGAACCACTAGACTCAGCTGGAAAAGAAAATTCATAATCACAAAGTAAGAAGGATCCAGTTTTTTCAATGGTCACACCTTGTTTGCACGTGAAACAGGAGTGGGCTCAGTCGGCCACTTGCTTTGTGTCCAGACATACAATCAGCCTTAACAAGTGACCGCAGAGCCCAAGCTGGGCTAATGACTCCAGTGGGAGAGCCCCAATCTGGGTAGCCCCCTAGCTGCGCCCCCTGCTTAAACAATCACATTTTCCCAGAACACACTCTGGCTGCTAATTACACACCTTACAGAAGTGACAGCTTCTGCATATGTAAGTAATTAGGATTGCTTTAACTCCATTCCCTACTTTCTACAAAGCAAATTGCTCATGATTACATACTACATCGGGAAACCGTTTTACAAATTATTCCTTCTTAAGAGTTTAAAACAAAGGACACATGAAAGGGACTCTCCTGGTGGCGCAGTGGTTAAGAATACACCTGCCAATGCAGGGGACACGGGTTCGAGCCCTGATTCAGGAAGATCCCACATGCCGCGGATCAACTTAGCCCGTGCACTACTGCACTCTACTGAGCCTGCACTCTAGAGCCCAGGAGCCACAACTACTGAGCCCACATGCTGCAACTACTGAAACCCGTGTGCCTAGAGCCTGTTCTCAGCAACAAGAGAAGCCACCGCAATGAGAAGCCCGCATACCACAACCAAGAGTAGCCCCCGCTCACCACAACTAGAGAAAGCTCACATGCAGCAACGAAGACCCAATGTGGCCAAAAATAAATAAAAAATAAATAAGAAAATAATTTATATATTTTAAAAAAGGACACATAAAAAAGAAATCACATTAAAAATACTATCCCCTAGCTCACAAAATTCTTAACATGGGGGAGGGATAGCCAAAGAAGGCAGCCACCTTGGTCCTGGCAAACGAGGGGTATTTGATGGGGCACGGGGTTCCATATGAAGTGACTCCCAGATAGAGGTGTATGTCTAGTAAGGGGTGGGGCATCTCAGTATGTGGCACAGAGCCCAGGCACTGCTTCAGGGGGTCAACACTTGGCACTGACAGGCAAGCAGGACCCAGTCACTAGGCAAAGATTTGGGGCCAGACTTCATTTTTAGAGGGGAATTGAGCTCTTTCCTGTACGTTTGGGCAAAGATTAACGCCAAGACTGAGGGTGCAGAAGAGGGGAAACAGACTCTTAATGGGCACCACCTGTGTTCTAGGCTCTTTCCATGAGGGCAGGACAGGGCACCCAGGGACACCCCAGAGGATATTGGGTCCCAGTCTACAATCCCAAATGGCAGAACCTGGACTATTACTGTAGCCAGCAGGTATCTCTGCACTACCAACTGGTGATGATGAAAGAGTGAACTGGCGAGGATGGGGGCTTTGGACCGTTTAATGAGACTAAGTGAAATAATAATGTCAAGC